GTGCCATGAACTTAACTCTTATCAGCACCCCGGTGGGAAAGCCCGGGTTATTTACAATAGGGCTCTTTTCAGTGTTGCGAGCTTCTTTTCAATTAAAACAAACAGCAAATTAAATATTAAATAGATAATTAGGGAAAAAGTGAAATTAATTGATTTTCCGGCACTCAGGTGTGGTACACAGAGGAAACTTAAGGCAATTTCACTGAATTATACTACCTTCATTTGTGTATATTAGGTACATGAAACTTGTTTTAAAAACTGGGTGACTCTGAATACTTTATGTGCAGTGAAGCAGCAATCTTAAAAAAAAACACAGAAAAGCTCAAACCCAGCACATACTTCAGGTTGATTTTTATTGAAGGAGAAGTCTAGTATAGCTATCAGTGTTAATAACAACATTGAAAATTTACTTCAGTTGAAGTCGTCTGCACGTTGACTTACGGTTTTGTACCATGTACTTGGTGTACGTAGTATAAAAAAGGAGTCCAGGAACTACAAAACACCTCTCTGGACAACTTCAAACTGTCTCTTGATCCCAGATCTTCAAACGTTTCCTCTTTCGAGGCTTGGGGACTTGGATCCTTTTCACTCTGTCTGCTTACTGACCTTGATAATAGGTGTTTGGTGTAATACATGTTTAGCAGCCCTGGGATTCCCTCCCGGGTGAAACCAAAAATTGCTTTACAAGGGCACAGGGGGCAGTTGCACTGGGACTCCGCTGTACCTGGTAGCCAGCTACTGCTAAGCTGCAGGCTGCGGGCAGGATCATGAAATATTTTTAAGTGTATATATAGATAGATAGATAGATAGATAGATATGGTTGTTTTTTTTTTTCTGTAGCTATCACATGCTCAAGAAGCAGGTGCGCTGGAAGTACAGAAAGGCACGCTTCCACATAGGAAAGTTGAGGGGGGAAAAAGCCCCCCCAAGCCCATAAACCTGGGTCAAGGGCTGCACCTCACCTTTCTCTCCTTCTCCTTCCCATCACATGGTGGGGCCCTCTCAGAGGCAGTGTAGGACCGCGAGCTCAACAATATGTATTTATAGATCCCAGAAACATATAGGTTTCAGCATGGAAAACAGTATTTGACTATGCTTTAAAAAACCCACACCGATCAACCCCAACAGGCATTTCTTCAAGGTGTCTGATGGTGAGAGATGAGCTCTTCTTCCCCTCGTCTAGATATTTCCTCTGCCTGCAGCCCTGTCGCTTTTTAAAGCATCAATGGGGGGATTTTATTATGTTTTATACTTTCATCTGTCTCTCTCTCCGTGGCTCCGCACAGCATGCTAATCCCTCAAGTCTCTTACGCAGCATAATTTTTATCTTAATTTTTCTATTTCTTAACGTTAAATGGGTTTGCCAGGGGAACAGGGGGTCATTTCCCGTCCCCGCCAGGTCATTAATTCCCTATGAAAACACCACGATCTCACGCTTCTCAAGCAA